ATAGGTCTTTTTTTTAACGATTTTTTGTTATCATTTAACGTATTAAGAATTAAGTCTTTTTAATGTTCATCAGCTAAGCAAGATGTCATAACCCTTGATATTGTTTTGTGGTCCCTGTTTCACAATTAAAAAAGAAGAAAGTCCACGAAACAAAAAAGTAAGTCCCTTTAAAAAGTAAGTTACTAAAAAATTTTTTTTTTTTAAATATTAAGCGACGGGTCGAACAAGTCGTGTACCCGGTGGAAAGCGTCACGCCTGTCCATAACAGTAGCACTGCCGCTCGAAGGCTACTGCTACGGCGTCCATCTCTCTGAGACATAGTTGACAAGTCCCATGTGCCTGTAATTTCACCAGCACCCTTACCATTCAAAACTTTAACACGGTAATGTGGCAGTACTACCCTGGACGAACTCACAAGGAGCTCTACTGCTACTAGTGATTTTTGAATATGATTTTCGGAACGAAAATGGCTCAAATGCTAATCCGTCAGTGGCAGCGTGTTGTCTTTGCAAATGCAGATTCAACAATAAATGCGGCGTTAATATTTCGACGCGGGAGTAGAATTTTTAAACTGAAAGAACAAAATGAAAGGGACCTTTATGAATCAGTGCTATTCGAGCTTTAATTGCACAATTTCATCTTCACCACAGTGTGACTAATGTAACAAAATATTTTTTTAAGATGGTTTTACGGTATAAACTCATTTTTTAATTTTTTGATTTGGGTCGCTTTCATTGTAAGGGTGCGAAGTATTAGTCGGATAATTGCGTCATATTGCGTCATGCGTTAGAAGAAACATACCGACTGATTCGCTATGCGTTAGAACAGTACCGACGGATAGAAAGAGACAAATTTCATTCATTAAAATACAATAGATGAATGCGTATGGTAAAAAGAAACAGAGATAACTTTAAATATGTGTTTTTTAGAGGACATTAGTTTTATTAATGGATATTAAATGGAAATTTGTGTATTTTGTATGTTTGAAGATATGAAGTTAACGAAACCATATTACGTTATTATGTACTAAGTTTTAAATAATAGTTTTATTATGAACTAGTGTATTTTGGCAAAGTAATCGATAATATTTATTTTTCATTAAATGTTCACACGCATATTACATGAATAAAATAATAATAAATTTAGTAAATTATAACATAGTAATAAGAATATGGCATTAAGTACTTTATCATTTACAATAACATGCCTGAATTTCACAATTTTTTCAAGTTACGTAATTTGGTTGTATTATGATACTCAATAGAGATGTGATGTGACTATTTATTTTCGTTAAATGACATCAGCTGATCGAAACTGTTCATGGCGAAATTTCCATAAATAACGTAGTTTGTACTAAAACAACTTTGCTAAATAGTTTCATACCATTAACTGAATCCGACCTTCAAATATGACTACACCTTGCTGTTACACCCTGTATATAACAAACTAACCTAATACCTTACTTAATAATATAATACATACACTTACATACATACAAATATACTATACATATACAAAATACTTACAATAACAGAATATGATGATGATTATTGCTGTGACAAACAATTTAGAAGATGCTCATGAACATTATTTTTAAAAGAAAATATATTAGGAGACCGTCTGATGGCGTCCGGTAGAGCGTTCCAGAGCCGTATCGAGTGGAGAGTAAAAGAATCTGACATGAAGCCAGAATGAAAGAGAGGTACAGTGAGTGATAGTGAATTCATGGAACGAAGTGGGAGGTCATGAGAGTCACAGAGATACTGAAATTTACATTTCAAGTATTCTGGATAGTGGGGATTGAAAAGAACGGAGTACAACGTACAGAGAATTCTTTTCTGTCTGCGTTGACGAATAGGGAGCCATTTAAGTTGAGACCTAAAAGAAGAAACATGATCAAATTTCCGAAGGCAGAAAATGAAACGAATAGCATTATTGAGCAGGCGGTCCAACTTGTCTAATAGATTTTCGTTGAGATCAGGATAACAGACATCAGCATAATCAATGAGTGGGAATATAAGGGAGGTGACGAGCAGGGTCTTAGTACTAATGGGAAGAAAATGTCGAAAGCGGTTTAGAAAACGTAAAGAAGAAGTAATCCTACGACTAACCTCGGACACCTGTAAGGTCCAGCTTAGTGAGGAGTCAATGTAAAGACCAAGGTTTTTTACACTACAACTGAATGGAACAGACGAGTTCTCATAAACTACTTGAATGAGCGAAGTATGGTCAATCTTGGATATCTGTTTAGATCCACTTAAAATAATTGCTTGACACTTGAAAGGATTAACAGATATCCCAAAATTAGTTGACCACGCACTAACACATTGTAAATCGCTGTTAATGTCAGAAATCGCTGAATTAATGTCCTCGGCAGATGCCTGCGCGTAAATCTGCAAGTCATCAGCATAAAAGTGGTAAGAGCAGCTAAGTGAGAAAGAAAGAAAATTAATAAAAAGTGAAAATAAAAGCGGTGACAAGATTCCATTTTTTATATTTTTTTATTATTTTTTTTATTATTTTTGATATTTCATCAAAACATTCAAGGACTGCTTTCTAAAAAAGAATTTATAGAGTTAACGCTTTTAGAAATCAAATCCAATATCAATCCAGATATATTGTGTTTTACGGAAACATTTGTAAAATCAGGTGAAGAAATAAACATTAACATCAACAATTACGTACTAGGAGCGAATTACTCGAGACAAAAGAAACGAGGTGGTTCATGTATTATAGTTAAAAAGGGGATTGAGCATAAAAAAAATTCTTATTTCGATGATCTTGCGATGACGTATAATTTTGAGCCTAGTGCTGTGAACCTGATCTCGAATAATATTATTGTCATCTGCATATACAGAAATTCGTCAACAGCTAAAAGAGACATTGAATGTTTTCTTGAAAAGCTTGATTTACTGCTATATAAATGTTGTAATAAATTTCCAAAAAAGAAGATTATCCTTACCGGCGATTTCAACATAAATATGTTGGAAACAAATTCACACACTAAAAGATTGTTCGACATTTTAAAAAACTGCAATCTTATCCTACATATTACTGAGCCTACTAGAGGAAAATCATGTCTAGATCTTATAATCAGTAATATCAGCGATGCGATAGGTTCGGTTTCAGAACTATGGCTATCCGATCATAACATTAATTCATCATAACGTTCTGTACCCATTCATATAAAAATGAATGGGTACAGAACCCAACAGTCAAAGTATTTTATCAAATTTTAGTGTCTGATAATGTCGTTTGACCATAATGATGAATGAAATATACTATTTATGAACGTATTAAGTGGAGGTCCACAGTCTCTGCCTACCCCTGAACGGGTGACAGGCTAGATTTTTATGTATATGTTTGTCCTGTGTTTACAGATGTATTACAGATAAATTGTATCGCACTACTGTGCACGGGTTTCTAAAGAAGTTTAAATAAAAGTACCAGGACTTCATAATAAGAAAAGTGGTTATAAACCAATATTACACAAAATAAAAAGAGTGCACGTTAGAACTGAATTTCCATAGACTTTTAAACATTGGTTGTATTTCATTATTTTAATTTACTCGCAGAAAAAGTAATCTATGCTATCATTATATAATTAGGTCTTAAAATCTCGTACCTATTGCTTAAACCATTCTTTGAATCCTAATTTTTATTATAAGTAAATAAAAGTGATTATTTACTACACATTTCGTCATTTTTATTTATAAACTTCGGGTTTAAGAAGACATAAAATAGATATAGATCTATTGCAAACAACTCGAGCCTTAAACGATTTTTAAGTCGTTTAAGTCTTTTAGTATAACGACTGACTCTTATTAATAAAAACTCGAACCTCCAGTCTTCATTTTAGAGTCGAGTCCTGTAAAATCGAGTCGAGTCGTTATAAAACGCCTTAAAAGACTGAGTCTCTTTCATCGCTAACTGCTGTCCACTAACTAAAACGCGGCTAATTGATCAATGATCAAATATCCGTTTTAAATAGTAAAAGATAGAGCACCAAATTATTTTTTTTAATAGTTAAAATTAGTTAGCGTTCGACTTATCGGGACGATGCATAGTTGAAATATCATTACACAATTTCAATATTCTAAAAGTGGGTTATGGTTTTTTATGATATCTCAAAAAATTATTTTGTCATTTAGCCGTGTAAAAAGCGGACGGCAGAGTACGAAAACGTGCTGAGCAGTGTTGTCCGATCTTTAAAGTGTTGTAATTAAGTTTTATTGCATGTCAGAATGTTTCACCACCGTGACATTCAATTATTTTTTGTGAAATTACTCCATTAGTTCACTCCAGTCTCCCAGTCTACAGTCTCCCAGTAAACCGTGCCAGACGCGTTAAAGTGTTTTAAAAATTGTAGTCTGTCTTTTTTGAAGGCGGAGTAAAATAACATTTGTAGGGTTGCTAGTTTTCATAAAATTTTAAATAGTGATGTAGTTGTTGTCGTTAGTTTTATCGACAGATTGTGAAAGAAGATAACATTTTGCCAAAAATGACTGTATTGTGAATGTTACGACGTTCTAACGATTACAATTAGTAATCATGGCATTATTGCCTTCTTTATTCTTATTTTGACGGTTGGCCTACTAGTATCGAGATCAATTTTTTTAAATTCATGTACATTTTAACAAGAATAGCCGGATTTGATTGTCTATATTCGTAACTACTACTACTAATAACGTCAAAATATGTCTCGTCTTTGTATTTTTCATAAACTTAGTTCTAAATACAGTGTATGTATGTAAGAACAAAAAAATGACAATTCAAATGAATTTGTGCTCAGTAATTAACGCGTGACCAGTATTCAGTCGGTGGTCGATAGAATATTTATCGACTACAATGACTAGCTGCTCGCAAGCGGGCAACACTTTCGCGCAATGAACTGTCATTTTTCGCCATCTCCAAAAAGACGGACTTATGGGTTGCTAAGCAGTAGTTTACCTAAAAAGAAAAAAATCAAACATAATTTCACCTTGAATTATGTTTTACAGCCGACAAAGCATTCCGCGACATGAAATCCCTGAAACAGTCGCAATCAATCATCGTGTCCGGAGAGTCTGGTGCCGGCAAAACTGAGTCAACAAAGTACATCCTCAAGTACCTTTGCGACTTATGGGCTAAGGGTGCTGGACCTGTTGAACAAAAGATTTTGGATGGTAAGTGTACACATAGCGCGTAGTTGTTTTAAGGAATAAAATTTTATAGAAACGCTGTTACGACGCCCAATCTTTGGCGCAACTATCACAGAAAAAATTGCTATTTTATTAACATTTGTAGAAAAAGATCTACGCATTTTCTTCTACTTTTCATACAAATTTTGCATCAAATGTTCCATATACATATACTCGTATGTACGGGAAATAAAAAAAAAATATTATGCCTTCATTCAAAATAAGTTGTTTATTTTAAGTTATGCGTAGTAACAAAAAGGCTGTGTATAAAGTATTTACTTCTTAAAATTATGTCCACAGCAAACCCTATCCTAGAAGCGTTTGGCAACGCAAAAACAACCCGCAACAACAACAGTTCACGTTTCGGCAAGTTCATGGAAGTGCATTTTAGTAACAAATATCAAGTTGTCGGTGGTCATATCTCCCACTACTTATTGGAGAAGTCCCGTATATGTACGCAAAGCGCTGAGGAAAGAAACTACCATGTATTCTATTTGTTGTGTGCTGGAGCCCCACAGGATCTGAGAGCTGCATTGAAGATTACTAAACCAGATGATTATAATGTGAGTTTTCTATAAAACAATACACTAGACAGAACCCTTGTACAAAAACGCATTTTAAAGTAGATATATAGGTATAGACTGCGATTTAAGCAGTGAAATTAATAGAGAACCATGTATAATCGAATTTTAATATTTAAAATATGTCAAAATTTTTCCACTAGTCTTTTTGCTTCTATTTGTTTTGAGCAAAACATTCTCTAAAATGGCTATTTTTAATTTTAGTACCTCAAGAACAGTTGCACGCAGTACTTCACAACAGCGCAGTCTGAGAAAAAACTGACGCAGGATCGGAAGAGTAAACAGCAGCAGGCCAGAGGGGGCCTTCGAGATCCAATTTTGGATGATATCGAAGACTTTGGAAGACTTCATCAGGTTGGTTATTGCATTCAATCCTTAGTGAAAGCTGAAATATGGTGATTGAAAGTTCATTTGAAATGTACTAATCATATTAATAATAATAACGCATACACTCATGGTCCCGTACTAGGGAGACCCTACATCACGGGTACCATGGACACACACATAGATAACCACAAATTACATCCAAACACACGAGAGAAATAAATGTAGACCATACAAATATATTACCCGGCCCGAAAATCGAGCCCGGGACCTCTGTGTGACAACCCAGCGTGGTAACCGATCGGCCACAGAGGCAGTAAACTCTGGTTATAGGGAAAATAAAGTACTGCGATTTTGATGAAACAAATTGCCTTTTAAAAATATTGTGCCGCGGTTAAGAGGAAGGACAGCATTTGTTGTAGTTTTGACAATAGCTAACGTTTTGGAATGGACACATAAATCCTGAAATAGTAAGGCTTCGGTAACTGTCACGATACACGGTGCGTGGTGCGGCTCGTGAATCGTCACGTCACGTCACGTAAATTTTTTAATTTAAGATATAATGAGATAAATTTATTTCAGTATAAAGATTAATCAAATAGTAAAAGAAATGTACAGGAAGTTATGATAATATTAAAATAAATAATACATAAAAGAAACTTAATTAGTATACAATATCCATAAAGCAGAATTTATGAAGAACTGGCACGTGACGCGTGATGCCGCCAGCAACACATGCATTAGTCATTTTGCGACACCGTCTACTAAGGAAGTAAACAAAGATATGTCGCAGATGATAGCTTTTTCTCAGCTATCGAAAATCTGTTATAGTTGAAAATAAGCTCCAGCCGAAAGTTTGTAATTTTTGGTTTATTATTTACATTCAGTCGTATGATTTTCGCGTGCATGTAAAGACACCTCTCACACTTCTATGGCGCCGCATGTCGTTTCATACCAAGTAATACGCGCGTGAATACGCTTCTAAATTAGCATTGCCATACGCGATATATATTATAATTGGGTGCTTTTTTCACCTTTCCTTAAGCAAGCTGTTATCTTATTACAAGTAGGCACCTTCCTTTGGACACATTGATATATAAAATGGTTAAAGAAATTATTATTTGGTGAAAACATGATTTTTATTACTTTCAGGCTCTTTCCCACATAGGTTTAAGCGAAGCTGAAAAAAAAGCAGTATATTCCGTGGTAGCAGCAGTGTTACACCTGGGGAACGTTCAATTCGAGGACGATGGAGGCGCTAAAGGCGGTTGTCGTGTCAGCCCTGAGAGTGAGCCTTCGTTGGCTACAACAGCTGGGCTACTAGGTGTTGATGCTGGGGAGCTAAGAATGGCGTTGGTCTCAAGATTGATGCAGAGCTCGCGCGGTGGTATGAAGGGAACTGCTATTATGTAAGTAGAATCTTAATGCTGAACATTAGAGTCCTAAATAACACATATTGCAGTGGGATAAGTGGGTGATAAGCAATGGCCGAAATAGGGCGTTCGAAACGAATAGGTAAATGTCTACATATAGATACAAGGAGGGACATAGTCAGTTGTGGTACCATTATACTAAGCGACCTATTGATAGACACAGAATTCAGTACAAAAATGCATTTCGTGCTATGCTGCGGCTTTGTAGTGCGTATGGCATGTTTGTCGTGAATAGAGTAGATGATTTTTTCGCCATAATACGAAAGAGATATTGGTTTTTTCTCATGAGAGTGAGCGATTCGGCCAATATAATTGTAAGGACCGTATGAGATACGATACTTTGTAAGCGAACTCCATTTTTTAAATATAAATTAATTATGATTATACTATTACTTCTAATTTAATTCTTAATTATTTACTTCATTGATAATATTCGGTTAATAAAATTCAATTTAATTGTTATGTAATAT